CCTCTGGAGAGTGCCTACTGCTAGAAGCTGAAGGGATGTCAAAGTCATACTGCAGTGGGACAGAACGGGTGAGCCTGATGGCTGATGGGAAGATCTTTGTGGGAAGCGGCAGCAGTGGAGGCACTGAAGGGCTGGTTATGAACTCAGATATACTCGGTGCTACCACAGAGGTTCTGATTGAAGATTCAGACTCTACCGGACCTTAGTGGACAGGAAGACTTGGGGCATGGGACAGCTCAGACTTTGTATTTAAAGGTTAAAAAGGACAAAAAAAAAAATCTAAAGCATTTAAAATCGAGTGAAATAACTGAAGGGCCTGCTCTTTCCATTGTGGATCACAGCACACACATACATACACGCACCCCCTTCCAATCCCCATCCCCTGTTCTCCTTCTATTGCTCCCCTTATAAAATTGATGTTGTCTTTACCAGAAAGGTAGACAAAAAAGAAGCAGCAGCAGCTCTTAAAGTGAGGGTTATTCTCATACTGGGTTCCAGCCATCAGCAGACTTCCTGCTCATCGGCAGATCCTCCTTTCCAACCTGTAACTCTGATGTGCTCTGGATCAGCTTTTAACTTTTAATAGTATATTACTGTCTTCTAAATCCCTTCTCCTCCTCTACTGCTGCCCTATGGTTCTGGCTCCTACCCCCTGCGGCACACTTATCTTCAAATACCATAGAATTCTAATCTCTGGAGGCTGGCAGCTTGACTTGGCACTTTAGGGCCCCTTAGCAGGGTGAGCTGTTAAAACAGCACACATCTCTCATCCCCTCTTCCTTTATTCCCCACTGGGTTTCAGAAAGGAAGGATATATGGGGACCACGCCCCTCCTCTTTGATCCCAGCATCTCAGTCCCCCTCCCAAACCTCCATATGGCTCTCAATGGTGCTCACTTGCTTGGAAGCAGGCTCCCAATAGGGAGAGGGCTGCCTTCTATACAGTCTCTTCGACTGTAAGACAGGGCTCTGTATCAGTGAGGCGACGAGAAAAGTCCCAGGCTAATGGCAGAAATTTGCACTTTGAACATGTGTGTTTTTGTGTTGTGGAACCTGAGATTCCTTATTTATTAACAAAGTCTGATTTTTTTTTTTTTTTCTTTTTGGAGTCTTTGTTGCTATATTTTGTGGGGCTGGGAGAGAGAGATTAGATTATTTTGACATGGGATCCCTTCCATAACAGGTACTTTGAAGGCAAGACATAGGGTTGAAGAAGCACAGCCAGCCTCTGAAATCATAGCTCTCTAGTGGCCTTTAAAGAAAGCTGGTCCTCAGCACTAACAAAATCACTACAATAGCCTAGTGCTTTTTTGGAAGCCTTTTTAGGGAAGAATGTTAGGTTCGTGGTAACTAGTATGCTCTTTGAGATTTTTAGAGCGTCGAGACTTAGGAATTTTGAGAGGATGAGGAGGGTTGTTCAGAATCTAAGTTATAGATAGAAGATTGTTTCTTGTGAATTTATTTCTTTTCTCTTTTTTGCCCCTACCATTTCCTTACATTTCCCTTGGGGCCCATCTCTGGCTCCTCGCTTTTTGTTTTTTGCTTTGCTTTTTATCATCAGTTCATTCCAGCTCCCTGTTAGTGAAGGACACTGCTGTTAGTGAAGGAACAAAGTCTATGAGTCCTAAAATTTTAAGTCAAATTAAACTCTCTTTCCCCTTTAGTAACACTTCAGAAGAGGAAAAACTTCAATAGCCAAAGTTAATAATCCTATATAATAATTGCTTTGACTTTCACCTAAAATTCTGGGAATCACAATTTCCTAGGGATAGAGATTGTGTTGGGGCATGGACTGCTTATTGCTGTTCACTGGAGAGAAGAGGTAGTGTTTTTGTACAAGGTCATATCGCCAAAAGCCCCAAATCCTGTTTTGGCTCATCTTCAGGTAAAGAGTAATTCCTATCCTGTGTGCCTCAAAAGCTAGAATCGAAAGCTTACACTATTCATTGTTTATTGTCAGAAATGCGTGATGGCTATTGCAAAGAATGACGTTTTGCTGGGAAAAAAAAAAGTTTGTTTTCACAAACATGGTTTATCAATTTTTTTTAAAAATTCTTTTTTCCCAAAAAGAAGAGTAACAAAATGTCATTTCTGAAAGAGGCTTACTTTATACCCATTACTGTTAGCATTTGAGATGCCAGGGAATAGGGAGTGAGACACCTACAATCACCAGTCTCAAATGTGCTATTGTTTCTTTTCAGAGTGTTGCAGATTTGCCATTTCTCCATAATATGGGGATAGAAAATGGCATAAAGATAGAAGGAATGTAGAATATGCTTTCCTGCCAACATGGTTTGGAGTAGACTTTGGTATATTGAGTAGATTTGAAAATACAAGATTGATTGGATGAATCTACAAAAAAGTTGTCCTACTCTCAGGTCCCTTTTATACTTTCTGACTAGCTATCATCTATATTCCACACTTAGCTTTTTCGTCACACTTATCCTTTGTTTCCGTAAATTTCATTTGCAGTGGTTAGTCATCAGATATTTTAGCCTCCTACACAAAAGCAAACTGCATTTTTAAAAATCTTTCTGAGATGGGAGAAAGTATATTCTCCTGATACCACTCTACCCACAAAAAAAACAACCAGTTAGTTTTACTAATTAGAAACTTGCTGTACTTTTTCTTTTAGGGATCAACGGCCCTCTTCATAGCTATCATTTGCCTACAATAAATTATTGCAGCAGTTTGCAATACCAAAATATTTTTTATGGACTTTATATTTTTCCTTTCGATAAAGGGATGCTGCATAGTAAAGAGTTGGTATAATTAAACTATCTCAGCCCTTTCCCTGCTTTCCTTTCTGCTCCATATGCCTCATTGTCCTTCCAGGGAGCTCTTTTAATCTTAAAGTTCTATATTTCATACTCTTAGTCAAATTCTGTTACCTTTTTAATAACTCTTCCCACTGCATATTTCCATCTTGAATTGGTGGTTCTAAATTCTGAAACTGTAGTTGAGATACAACTATTGAATATTTCTGGGAGATGTGCATCCCTCTTCTTTGTGGTTGCCTAAGATTATTTTGCATAATTGAGACTCCTTGATATGCTTCAGAGAGTTTAGGCAAACACTGGCCATGGCCGTGGGAGTACTGGGGGTAAAATAAAAACATTAAGGTATAGACTAGCATCCACATAGAGCACTTGAACCTCCTTTGTACCTGTTTGGGGAAAAAATATAAAGAGTGTACTACCAATCTAAATAAGATTATTATAGTCTGGTTGTTGGAAATGCCATTTTTTTCTCCTTTTGTGTTTTTCCCACTTTCCAGTGTACTCGAAAATTGAACAAATGTAATGGATCAATTTAAAATATTTTATTTCCTAAAAGCCTTTTTTGCCTGTTGTAATGTGCAGGACCCTTCTCCTTTCATGGGAGAGACAGGTAGTTACCTGAATATAGGTTGAAAAGGTTATGTAAAAAGAAATTATAATAAAAGGGATACTTTGCTTTTCAAATCTTTGTTTTCTCTTAATCTAGGTAAGGCATATTAAAAATAAATATGTAAAGAAGAAAAATAAAAGTTGTCTTCATGGAAGCAACTTGTCTTCCTTGATTGTACTGAGTTACAGTTATCCTAGGGGTGAAACATGTGATGCTGCTAAGCAAATCAGATGCTCTCAGAACAGGTGTTGTGTGGGGCATATTGTTGTTTGCTTTTGTTGAGAATCAGGTGGTTGATTTTTGACTGTTTAGTTCTTGATTTCTAATGCTGAAATGACATGATTCTGTTATTCAGCAAACTTGGAAATCTTGATGTTTTGACAAATTCTTCCTAGGAAAACTGGCCATATTAACCTAGTAGATGGAACATTAAGGATTATGTGAGGTTAATTTTACCCTGATAATGACAAAACCTTGATAGCGTTTAATATCAATACTACTTCTCAAAATCGAATATTTGTATCAAGTACTGGTTTTTGTTTTGAAAAAGAGAAAACTACAATCCTTCTGCCTTCTTAAAAGCCATACTGTTGTAGCTGCCCCAGGCTGCTTTCTTACATCTCCCATTTATTGTTTACTTTTATAAATTTGCTTCTAAGATAGTATGTGTTTCAGCTTATTGGCAGTATCTGTGATATAAATAATGAAAGCTAATTCTTTCATTTAGGGATGAAATCTTTAGCCCTTACCCAATAAGCATCATTCTCTAAGTTAAATGCAATAGAATGACAACTCTCCAAGTACCTTTTAACTCTTATACTGTCATTTCAAAGTCCAGCTCATTCTCTTATTTTAAGAAGCATGTGGTATGACTGGGTAGGGGAGAAAAAAAGGAAAGCATGTTGTCACTTGAGTGAGACTGCTTTAGAAATGTTACCAAGTTAGCATTGGGTGTTTCCTGTTCTTTGGAAGAGAACAGGCCTAAATAGTACCTTCCTCCTCCTCTGTAGCTACCAGGAAGGCACCATGATTGAAATAAGAGATGCTCCCTTGCTTGATTTTTACGTTTAAATTAAATTATCTTTAAAAGTACTTAAGGATGGGAGTGAAAAAATGCTATGTTTTTAAAGGACTTCCTTGACGCAACCTTTGTTTCTTGAACAAAATGTAAACTAGCTAAACAGAAAATGAAATTGGAAAGTCAGTGGGAGAAACAACTGTAGAATCAGACTTCTATTTAAATTCAAGCCTCGTTACTTGATTTTGTGAAAGTTATTTCTTGAAGTTTCAGTTTATTATATGGGAGAAATAACATTTACCTCAGAATTATTCTGAAGATCAAATGGAATTGCTTTAAAGTATTTAGCTCACTGTCTGACCCATGGTAGTTGCTTAATAAATGGCAGCTGTATCAATAATAATTTCATCGAATGAACATTTCGCCAGCCTATGAGAAAAAAGACATGGGAAGCATAAGGGAGAGTGATAATAAAATGAACTGATTCTAAGTGTGTATGAGATAGATTACATTAGGCAAGGGTGCCATGAGGATTAGTATGATAGTGACCTTGTTGCTAAGTGCAAAAGCAAAACAATGACGTAGAAACAAGTGTGCTAAGTACTGAGTGGAGGAGAGAGATGGAGGCAGACGCTGCAAGGGAAAAAAAAAGTCTGATTAAAAAGGGCCCTTTCATTCCACAGGCACAAAAATCCACAGCCAGGAATTTGCTACCACCTCTGAGTCAGGCAGGGGGTGGGGGTGGGGTACACAATCCCATTAGTAGAGAATGTGCAGTGGGTTTAGTCTGTGAGAGTCACATTTCTTATTTGGACCAGTGTAGACAGGAGTAAACCCAGCTCACTTGTTTCCTGGGACAGCTAAGGGATGGCTTTCGCAGAGCATTCACCGCTGACCCCTCACCGTCGGGACCTCTGTAGCCGCTCTATCTGGCTAGCAAGGAAGATTCGTTCAGACCTGACTGCTCTTACGGAATCTTATGTAAGTTGCCTATTTTGCTGTTATCTGTTTTCCCTTCATCTTTTCTGATCCAGCAACTTACCATCATGCATCAGCTCCATTACCAATTGTGAAAGCTCTAATCATATAGTCATTCATATAGGTTATTTGACATGGGCCCTTCCCTTGAGGAAACCCATGTGACCTTATTTTCTTCCTTCAGGCTGTTTAGGAGATATGTTACTTGAATGAGAAAATATATATGGGGTTCTAGATAGGATTGGCTTATATGTCTTGGAGGCTACTCCAAATTGGTTTGCATATATCCTGAATACTACTAGAACAGATTAGCCATGGGCCGTCTGGGTTCTTCATAGCCATTGTTCTGAATTTTTCAGCTATGTAAATGAAAGGTTTATGGGATAGAGTACTATGAACGTGGGAGGAATTTGTAAATCCTACCAATTTCTCTTATATAGCATTAGCCACCCACCTTTTAGTATTCTGCATCAAAAGTAGAGTACGTCTAAAGAGAAAGGTAAGCTATCAAAAGGATCTCCTAGAAGATTCATTGGAGACTTGTGGAAGTGTCGAATTCTTGAGCTAACTGTGGAGTTCCAGATTTGTCTTCCAATAGCCGGGGGATCCCCATCAATTTCCACCTAAGATATGCTGTGGAAATACTCCAGCCCCTGTGGAGAGTTTTGAATTTAGGCTCTCTGAGAACTGATTTATCTTTGTACAGCCTCACCAGACAGAATTCACACTCTCTGGGAGTGCTCAATGGGGAGAGGGAAGTTAGAGAAATTCTACAATGGTTATATTCCAGGGCTTCCTAGTTGTGGCCAGTGTCTACAAGTATGTTTAAAAATACTTAAACTTTAATATGATTAAAATATTCCAGTTAGAAAGTTTGAAGTGAGAAGGAGAAATTCTTCTAAATCAGTTTTCAAACCTTAGAACTCAATGAAATCTGAACATTCTTCCAAGAAAAATCCATAGGTACTCAATTTCAGGGAGTACTGGGTCTTTCTAAAGCGCAGTCATGGAGCTCAAATGAAGAGTTCCTACTGTAGACCTATTATTTACTTTACAGCTTGGATCCTTGGCCAGAGAGGTGGGTGAGATTTTGTATGAAATTTAGGAGTGATTTAAGGACATTGGGGTGATTACAGAAGATGTGGTGTTTTCCTGTATCCTCGGCCAGGTGAAGCATCAGGGCCTGAACGAGAACATCAACCTGGATTCTGTGGATGGGGTGCCAGTGGCAAGCACTGATCAGTGGAGTGAGCTGACCGAGGCAGAGCGACTCCAAGAGAACCTTCAAGCTTATCGTACCTTCCATGTTTTGTTGGCCAGGCTTTTAGAAGACCAGCAGGTGCATTTTACCCCAACCAAAGGTGACTTCCATCAAGCTATACATACCCTTCTTCTCCAAGTTGCTGCCTTTGCATACCAGATAGAGGAGTTAATGATACTCCTGGAATACAAGATTCCCCGCAATGAGGCTGATGGGATGCCTTTTAGTTTTGGAGATGGTGGTCTCTTTGAGAAGAAGCTGTGGGGCCTAAAGGTGCTGCAGGAGCTTTCACAGTGGACAGTGAGGTCCATCCATGACCTTCGTGTCATTTCTTCTCATCAGACTGGGATCCCAGCACGTGGGAGCCATTATATTGCTAACAACAAGAATGTGTAGCAGCCCCTTCTCCCTTGCTTTCTCTTCTAATGGAGTACAGATAGTTACCTGGGGCTTCGCTTTCGCATCTTAAATTTCTGAAAACGATTAAGACTACAGGCACTTTCTTTCTTTCTTCTCTGACCACCTGCAGCCTGTTGAAGGACTACAGGCATTTTCATCAAGTAACATTGGAGACATACACAAATGGGCATACAAGTTTAGCCTGGGGGGTGTGATTGTGTGCACGCGTGCACGTGCTACAGGTGTAAGAGTGGGAGCAGGGACAACGTCCTTCCACTTCAGGGTTCTAATCTTTCTAACCCTCTAAGTAACCTCTACAGGCATTTAACAGCCTTACAGACAGAATATACATATGTTAATTCTAGTTCTGGATGACTCGGTCTGAGAAGATTCAATTTAAAATCAGACTCTTTAGTCGATTTAAACTCTTAAGAGAATAAAAATAATAATGGCTAACTTTTATTATCTACTATATTGAGGCAATATGCCAAGGGTCTTTATGTATATTATGTACAGCTTTTACAACCTTGTGAACAAGGTGGTGGTGCTCCCATTCAGTAGATGAGAAAACAGGCTCACAGAGATTTGGTTAAGCTCACACAACTAACAAGTGGCACACAGAGTTTGAACACAGATCATTCTTGTAAAGCCTATGTGCCTTGCACTTTAGAGGCTTGGTGATGAATCACTGCACCTCTTTGTCACAGGGTGTTGGAAGATGCATCCATGTAATCTGTTCCCGTCGCTGGAAAACAGCTGCCATTAGATGTCCTCAGAAGTCAGTTGCGAATTTTAGCGTTAAAAGTCAGGATTTGTTTTTCATACTTGGCAGTGAAGAGGGCAGCTGGAGATCTTAAGATTCCATTTTGGAAAATGATTAGGCCCACCACACTTCTGAACTTTGGAAGCTGGGGATGTTTAGTAATACAGCCTGATTTTAAAGTGCTCACTAAATGTTCTCGAATATTGGGTTGGGCACAGCTTATACCAGGTTACCTCACTTTTAATTAGTGACGCAGGCAGTGTAACCCAAGCATTTGTGAACAATGAGTGGAATACTAAAGTTAAAAAGTCATCAAACTTTCACCTCAAATTATCTGGACTTAGTCATGAGGAGAGGGTGAGGCCCACTCTGTTCCTACTGGAGATACCAGAGACTCTGAAACTATACAGTAAAGCTTCTGTGCTGTGTAACAAAGGGGCAGGCTCTGCTTTTAATTTCTTGTAAGAAGCACACATAGTATGAAAGGTTGGTCAATGTGGACATTAATGGAAAAGGCCATGTACTGGTGGTGCGATGTGAATGCAAAAATTTTCAAGTGTGTCTATTTTATACTTATCAATTAAAACTCAAGATCATGGATTGGGAGACCAAGTTAATTTAATTAATTGGGGCTTCTGTATTCATAAATGAACCATGGTTCAGGACCAGCTCCCATAGGTTTCATGAGGTGTGGATGAGTAGCTTAGCTTGTATCCTTTCTCACATGGGTGTGTGTACAAAACTCCATGAAGTCACTATTACCAGAGTACACTGGGCTAGGCATTGTAACAGTTCAGAGAAGGTAAGGCCCTGCTTTCTAGTATGCATTTGTGGCAATATGGTTGTTTGTATGTATACACACACACACAGTGTTACTGTAATCAGTGATGCAGACAGTGTAACCCAAGCCTTGTGGACAGTGAGTGGAATACTACTCAAGTTAAAAAGTCACAGAACTCCTTCACCTCACATTCTCTGGACTTAGTCATGAGGAAAGGGTGAGGCTCACTCTGTTCTCACTGGAGATACCAGAGATTCTGTAAACACACACACAAACACACACGCACATACACACAGTCGAAATTATAAGTCCTAGGTTTGTTAGGAGGCTAAAGGAAGGAGATCAACAGGGCCCCAAAGTAGTTTCCTGGAGGAAGTAGGAGTTGTGTCTTAATACAAAACTACAAAATACTCTGTACTGGTTGAGTACAAAATAGAAGTCATGAGAGAAGGGAAGAGGTGGTCATTTGTAATTTTGGCACTGAATGTGTAGTCTTATTCCATTCAAACTTTGTCTTAATCATTTCTTCTGCTCAACAGCAGCATTCTCAAATAATGAAGTTTCTGCTTACTAATATAAGATGTTGTCCTCATACTCCCTCCACCAAACAAAAAGTTTTTAAAAAATGAGTGTCCCCTCTCCAAGTGTTTTTATGTTCAACAGGTATAGCAGCAGACATCTGTAGAAGTTTCAGAACTCAGTGGAGCTTGGCTTAAGCTCTCATGAGTTGCATATAAAGGAATATGTATGTATAAGAGGTGGACTTGAAGTGACAGAGGGTCCACAAAAGGTACAAGTACTAACCATTGAATGGGAGGAGATAGAAAAATGTGTAAGTCACAATTAAGGCACAGAATCACCAAGTCTTTACCAAGTGCGTTTTCAGCACTTTGCAAAATGCCGTGTATTTGTCTTTCAAGAAGCATACAATAGGCACCCAAAAGAAGTGTGGGGAAAGCTAATCTTAGAAAACAATATGGGGGAAATGATCAGTAGGCCATGCCACAAAAAGCAACATGTATGAGATCTGAATGTGTAGACATTGCATCATGTTTATTTGAAATGAATAAATAGAAAAAGGGACTGACAATGGATTAGTGTTCTAGGTGTGTGTCTTATAGTAAAGAAGAGGATAATGATGACACTATGGAATTATGTTTTTTTAGGGATATGGAACCCCAAGAAGATTTTGTTCATTAGGTTTTATTCTCTTGATCTGATACGGACAAGATCTCTGGGAAATCATACATGGTATAACTATATAGATCGAATTATAGTTTAAGGTATATAGATTTAGTTTCTAGCCCTAACTCATTTTGTAAAAACAATTTCTTCTGCCTCCTTTTCAGAGAGTACCTTCTGAAAAGTCCTCTCTGTGGGTAAAGAGATCCGTTTTCCTGAGTCAAGTAATTTCATGGATGAGAATTTTTCTTGTATTCATGTAAGCGGTGATTTGGAAAAGGCTTGCAAATTAGCACAAATTTGAAGGCCAAACATGGAATAAAATTAGCCTTAAGATAATCAGGTTTAAGTGAAGTGAGAGTTTTAATAAAAATGGAAAATGTAAAGTCATAGCTCTGGTATTGCTGTTATTTCAGGCTGCTATGGATTAATGCCCAAAGGATGACTCATTGTTGTGATCACTTGTCAGACAGGGAGAGGACTAGTAAATATTTCAGGAAGACATATCTGAAAAGTTATTTAGATTGAATTTTGTTTGTGAATCCTCAGCTCCTCATGCGATACCTGAGCATCTCTGTTAAGGGGTGAAATAGAGACACAAGAAGCAGAGAGACCTCCTCCGGGATGCAAAGGGGATTGGTAAAGAGGAAGGGGATGGGGAGGGAGTAGAATTTGGATTTTACTTCAGTTGATTCTCTGTGTGTGTGTGTGTGTGTGTGTGTGTGTGTGGTTACTAATGTAGTTTTTAGGTCAGGACATTTCTTTAAAAGAATGGTTTGGCCTCCTGCCTCATCCCACCTCCACTGCAAGCATCAGACCCATCCAAGAATGAGCTCTCTGAATGTGGGTACATTCAAAAACCAAAAAATGATAAAAACTTCATTTCTTGGCTTCTATAGGACTCTGAGAACTACAGATAAAGACAGAATAAGATAATTTGATAGTCTGATGAAATGTCAGGGTGTGAGATAAAATCTATGTGCTTGTGATTCTTAACATAAAAGATTGTTTGGATCAATCTGGTTTGAACACATAGAAAACAAAAGATGCAAGAATAGCTAACAATAAAGTTCTTTTCTTAGCAATACCATGAGTTACTTCTTTTCTGTATCTTTGGATGAATGAGGGGAATTTCAAGTGACTTCAGCATTGGATGAAACATAATCCTCCCAGCCAGGGCCAGGCTCAGTCAAGCGTGCTGAGTAAATCTCCATGATGCCAGGCCACTCACACTGGGCAAAACTCCCAGGGCCATTCAGCCTAGAAAAGGTAGATTGCCCCTATATCACCAGGCCAATGCTTTGCCCTCTGAATATGCAGTCCTAACAGCTAGACTGCAGATGAAAAAGATTTCCTTTTACATGGCTTAATTGACCCCCCCCCCACCCCCCCACAATTAAGCTTTTGACTTCAAGAGAAGAATCCTGACTAGCCCATTTTTAGTCAGGTTGGAGGTAGAAACCAAATTATTGAAAATCACGTAGAGGAAAATATGAAACAGTTACTGAGAGATTCTGTATTTCTATCTACATATTTAGGATTGTATGAAAGGGAATAATGTAACATGTCAAGCAGCTCTGCACTATTTTATATTATTTAATCCTCTGACATATTATCTCTTAGATGAGGAAAATGAGAATGAAAATTAACTTGCCCAAATTTCCTCCTCTAGCATCTGACAGCGCTGGAGTCTTAATTCTGACTCTAAAACTGACTTCACTACACCTTGTGCCATAGGACATCTAGTAATAGAAATTCTCTTATTCTGAAATCCATTCTCTGTCTCTAATCCACTCTCCTTGGTTAAAGCCAATACAGGCTTGCACCGAATTTTGTTCTGTAACAAAGTCTATATAAATTTCTAAACTTTGAGACAAGTCACTCTTTTTCTGAGCTTCCTCATTTATGAAATGAAAATGATGAAAAATAGCTAAGTAACTTCACAGTTGTTATAGACAAATTGAGTATCTGAAATTACTTGTAACTGACATACAGACATCACCAAGTATATTTAACGCCTCAGGTAGCTTGGATTCACAGAGTGGATTGAGGAGCAAGCTCTGTATCTCAAGAGAACACTACCTGCTTACCAGGAATGATCTGGCCATAGCCTCGACTTCATCCTATTGTGTCTATTGGCTTTTGGCCACTGGAGGTCGACCCAGTCTCATTCACAGCCTCCAGGATTCATCCACCTCCCTGGAGAGTTACAACCCAGGCTGTTCACCCAGGAGGCAGCTTTCACAGTAGGCGGGGTCAGAGAAGTCCTGGAGAAGCCTGGTAGGCTCCAGAGGGAGCCAAGAAAACATGCAGACTAAGGAGCTGCCCAGGATACATTAAAGCATGCATTTAGACTTAGAATCATCCCACCATATGCCTACACCCGCCTGTGAATACCAGACGGAGCTCAAACTTCATTTAGATCAATCTCTTCATTAAACACAGCAAGAAGAAGCCAAAGAGGTTCAGCAATTTGCCCTGGCATCCCAGCTAGAAAGTGGCAGAATGAGACCTACAGTCTGGATCCCCCCACTGCACTTTCCTGCTTCTCCATCAAAGCAACCCCATTTTAGGAAACGTGGTAAGTCTTTCTTGCTCTCTTGTATGCAGCGCCCTCTAGCTCCCTCACCTCTAATAATCCTTTAGGAGCTCTAGGAACAGCACCTCATGATCCAGACTTCTTTTGCCACTCCAACTGCCACCTCTACTATAATTTGAGGGTGTTATATTTCATCCCTCCCCTGATATGATGGGGGAAAGATGTGGCCCATTCTGAGGAATGCATTCTGAGGTAATGGCTAAATATGTTACTCCTTTCAGGGTAACAGTTATTTGAACAAGGCACTCACGGGAGCTTTTTAAAAATAATATTCTGGTCTGGGCATGGTGGCTCACACCTGTAATCCCAGCACTTTGGGAGGCCAAAGTGGGTGGATCACGTGGTCAGGAGTTTGAGACCGGCCTGACCAACATGGTGAAACCCTGTCTCTACTAAAAATACAAAAATTAGCCGGGCGTGGTGGTGTGCACCTGTAATCCCAGCTACTCAGGAAGCTGAGGCAGGAGAATTGCTTGAACCTGGGAGGTGGAGGTTGCAGTGAGCCGAGATCGTGCCATTTGCACTCCAGCCTGGGTGACAGAACAAGACTCGATCTCAAAAATAAATAAAATAAATAACATTCTGAAGCAGGTGTCTTCATGTCAGATCAACCCTTCTTCCACAAGTAAGGTAAAGGCTTAGGACTAATTTCTCTAAATCCCTGACTCCTGTCTCCAAAGCTTGGGATGGAGGTAGGATTGGAGGTTACACAAACGATACAGTTTGGCTGTGTCCCTACCCAAAATCTCATCTTGAATTGTAATCCCCATAATCTTCACGGTTTTTTTTGTTTGTTTGTTTTTTTGTTTGTTTGTTTGTTGAGACGGAAGTCTCGCTCTGTCGCCCAGGCTGGAGTGCAGTGGC